GTTTCTGATCCATGTTTATGTCTAAGTATTCAACATTTTCCTGACTCTAACCTGTTTGTTTACTGAATGTAGCAGCAGCAGCTGCTGGTGTAGCCTGGAGGTGCTTGTCATTTTGCCCCCTTAGGAGATATAACAATAAAATTATACTTGGAAAGCAGAACTTGACAAAATATCACTATAAAAGTAACTAGTTTTTTAGTATCACATCATTTTAAGCGACAAATCAAAAACTTTCACCTGAATTTCCTCACTGGGGGACAATAAAGGATATTTCTATGCTACTCTAATCTAAAACTAACTTTAATTCAAGTCCCTTTATTTGTCCACAAGGGTAATTTAAAGCATGAAGAGTAATAACCGACTCCCTGAAAGAGGAGTGAAACACAGGGAGTGTTTACCTGTTGTTCTGCATCAGTGGTCCTCTAAATTTCACCTCTCAGCGCATGTTAATGCAGCTCAGACTTCACACCAGTTAACGCTCACTTATGAACACGAACCGGCCATCTGTTCAACTAACCGGAAATAATAAGCGTTCAGCTTCCAGGGTTCCGTTCAAGACTTCAAATCCAGCTTAAAAAGTCCACAAAGAGAACTCACGTCGTCCTCAAGTTTAGACACGTTGCTTGTTGTTTGTAGACGGTTTGTTTACATCCGGAAATTTTACACATGCGCACAACTCCGACTGGAGGACAAAAAAAACGTTTTTTTTGTTCACTTGCTGCCGCGGTACAACAATCCCGTTAATAAAATGAAACCTAGAGATGTAGGTATTATTAATTTGGCGCAGCGCGCCACAAGAAAGGGTAAAATAACAGAAAAACCGTCGAAGAACAATTCAAAACCACTTTTATTCTTATTTTTTCTCGCTCTCTCTAAGCTACATGCAGACCCGTTGCCGTAGCAACTCAAATATTTCCGCACACAAACATCAAAACTTTCAGTTTAATGTTTTCAAGCTTGATGTTTATTTTAAGATTACTAATAAGTAACATAGCGGTGGTTAAACATCTAATCTACTGATGGTCTGCGAATGAGTCGTCTTTTTCTTCTTAATAAAAACTTTAGCACATCTACGTGCTAAAGTTGTCAACGTAAAGCTAGCATAGCTGTCCAAATTTTTCCTTATCTTGTTATCCTAGTTGTCATAGTGTTGGCAATTAGTAACAAAGCACTGCTGCCTTTATCAGGTTATGTTAACAACTTGACAGGTAAAACTGCTGGTAGTCATCGTCACCTAGCAGTTTTTTGATTTTGCAAAGTGTATATTGATTATTTCCAGCATGTCTGTGTGTAGGTCAGCACACAGAGTGGACCTGGTCAACATTTTAGGCTCCAGAAGCTGCTATAATGACATGAAATGGGTTCAACAGAACGAAATTTGATTGAGTGAAGAAGAAGAAGGCCCACCGGGGTACAATAAGGCGATAAAGGAGACACAAGCAGCTGTATTTATGAAGTAAAAGGAATCAAATGACTGCAGTGATCAATAACTGCACTCTGAAAATCATGCTGTTCATCTACAATTACTAAAGCCATTTCATATTATTCAGTCACCGACTCCACATGACATGTAGTCATCATTATGAAGGTGGATTGGTTTAAATTTAGTTCGAAAAAACACCTTCAAACAGCAAGTGTAAAGATTGACATCTAAAATGAAAGTTTAGAAAGCATAAAGCTGTTATGACTCACCCTGTGAAAAACACATGCTGAGCATTAAAACTGATGAAAAGAAAATAAACTTAACAGCAATTTATAGAGTCTCAGAAAGTTAGAGACTCATTCTGAATAATGACTGAATATCATGTGCTTAAAATTAAATCTAATAAATTACAAATTGATCTAAGAAGTTTTCACAGACTGTAAGCCTGTATTGTATTGTACTGGAATGGTTTCAGTTCAACCTGCAGAAACTATTAATCGGATTAATCATGATTAATCAATTATTGAAATAATCAGCAACTAATGTAGTAAAATATTAATCATTAACTGGAGTATGCAGCCTCTACAAATGCATAAAAAATATTCAGATCAGTAGGAAAGCCAAAACTGAATTTCATTTAAGATATGAAAAACCTCTGTTCAAGTTGCACAGTTTTAATTAAATTTGAATGTACTAAAGGAAGGCAATGTTACTGCTTTCAGCTGCTTTCACCAAACATTAAAACTAGTAAAAACTTTGTAACACATTTATTTCCACTCAAGCATTATGAAACATTGATCTTCACTGAGTTAATACCTGAACTTTGACTTTACCAGTCACAAAAATCAATACAAAGAGGTTCAAGTTCAACCTCATCTTTTAATCCTAGCTCTTTGTAAATGTGCAAATGTTTACAAAAACAACCAATTGGAGGCAGGAGGAGGGTCTTAGCGCTGTTCACCCTCTCACTCTGCTCCTAGCTAAACTACAGAGGGTTCACTGCAACTTAGCCTACCTGGAATGCTAAGGCTAGTTAGCTTAGCCACCAATCCTGGTGGATAAAAGGTTAAGTTGTGTCTTTGCCATTAGCTCAATTAGCAACATTGATTGACAGCGCTAACATCCGCCTCCTGGCTCTTATTGGTCGTTTTTGGTTGGGAGCGGTGAATAACTCAGGGAGGAAGTGGAGGAGACCGATCTTTTCAGATCATCTGTCTCATAAAAAAAACTGTCACGACATGATTACAGTTTTAACAAATAAGGAAAAAACTTTTTTATAAAACTTACAGACTGCAGCTTTAACCGTAGATTTTACCTGCCATACATCTGCTGCAATAAGAACAGGTCACAGAAGAATAACTCTTCTCCTTGTTGGCAGCTTAATGACTGGCAGTCCTCACTGATGAGCTGCCGCTTCTTTATAATAGAGCCAACTCATTTTTAATGCAGAGAAGATGTAAATAAAATAGCGTAATAAAAAATTCATCAAGATGCTGTCTCTGTGTAACAACCAAATACCATCTATTGGTTCCTGAAACTCCTCCGAAGTGAACAAAGCGAGCCGGCCGTGGTTTGTCGTTAAAGTTTAAGTGATTACAGCTACACAGAAACATCGAGAAAGTCTCCAAACACACCAAGAAGACAATCAAAGCCTAGAAATAATCTTACATTCAGTTTCATCAAGAACCCCATTGAGTTGTGTTGTGTGTGGTGCCTTCATCATGCATGCGCAGCACGGACCGCAACGCCTGATTTTAGTTGCTTCTGACTCATTTTGGAATCAGGGCACATCTTCTGCAGACCAGCTGCAGGTTGACGCAGACGCAGCTTTTTTTTTTAATCACCCCAAAGATATAAGATTTTGATCAGACACATTTCAGTAGCCTGTGCAGAGCCGGAGCTGCTCCTTAAGCAGTTTCCCCATATGGCTGCTGTCAAACAACTTCAACTCTACTGCAAAGCAGAGAGTCGTTTCTGCATATTCACGGCCATCTGTGAGTCCATATTGCTTCTTGTCAATCAAACATGTTTCTACAGAAGCAGCATGTTTCTGACTTGTTTGGTCTCATGGAAATAAGTGAAATTATCTCATGTCTCTCAGGGCCAAAGTGGTAAATCTGAAAGCAACACGTGTTTTCTGCCTTGACTTGAGAACCAGGTGATAAATCCTTCTCAAGGTATTTACATATTCATATAAAATCAAACAGTGGCCTCTCAAATTACAGCTAACAATGGTGGTCAATGTTACAGATATGGGGAACCAATTAAGTGCCAGTAGGAGTGTTAAAAACAAAGTTGTATAACATGATTCAACTGCCTTAAAAAACAACTTGTCATACAACTTAAAGCGTACCAGTTATATTTTTTAAAACACTATCAAGAAACATAAAGTCTCCATGAAGTAACTGTCCATCTTATTTACAACCCAACATGTTTCCAGACACAATTCATCTTTTCTACAAGGATAAAAACATATTGAGTACAATTTGTGGTACTCTAAACATACTTGGTTATTAATAATATTTGCCGCCCAATATTAGCGTCCTCTATCAACTGTTTTTTTTTTTTTTTTGTGGCCACTGTTAGTGGCCATTATTGTTAGCAGCTAACGTTAGCAACCTACTGTTGAAGGCTATTATTGTTATCCAAACCAGACAATAGATAATGTCAGCTAAAAAAGAAATGGATACAAAAATTAAACCTTTATAAATTGATTTTCTTTCCTTTTAACAGATAAAAACTTAAAAACTGGAAAATTATTGTTACAATGGAAAATAAATGGTGCACTTATGATTTTCCCTACTGGCTAAACTGATTAAATGTTATTTTTATCCTTGCAATGCCATGAGCAGAACTGGAGAGAGATCAGAGCGATTTTTGTTTATACTCTGATATAAAAAGTATTTTATCACCATCAATCAATCAAGCTTAATCCCAGAACATTAATTAAATAAGGAATTCAGAGTTTGATAAAAACAATTAAGAAGCAGGGAGGCCTGCAGGCTCCAACATGGACTTTTATCTGAATGTTTTCTTTTCCCGTTTGTTTCCATCTTCCCACCAGCCCAGGTGTGGCGTTTTTCACTTTGAACTCCTGAAGTAAAGGGTCTTTTTTTCTGCAAACGGTGTTTAAACATGCTTAGACATCCCACCTGTTTTCCTGCCTTTTTCGCCACCAAGTCCCCTCCTCCTCCTTTCCCTTCCTCCTTTCCCATCCTCAATGCCCAAACAACTACTACCTTTTACACTTTCTGAAATTATCCCCCTTGAAAAGCCAGGGGAAAGGGAAGCAGGATGTGTTCTTGTGCCTTTACATGATTGCAGGTATGTTTTTTTCTAGCTTTACTGTAATTATCCTGAAAACTGCAGGAGAACAAGCTGGAGTTCCTCATTATTCAGCCTGGGAACAACAACCGCAGCACGCAGAACCATGTTTAGGGTGTTTTAAGTGAGATTACCAGTTGTTGCCTGACACAGGTGGTAGTTTTCTGAAGCACAAGGAACCAGATTGCATTCCTTTCCTGTCAAATTTGACTTATAAAAAAGGAGACAAAAAAAATCTCTTCAAGCTCAAAAGTGCACCCTGATGTTAAATGTCTTTACTGCCCACTTTTGATCCATTTTCCTCACAGCATTTGTACAACCGTAATCTTCTGCTGAAAAGTAACTCATCGCTTCTCGGAGGCTCTGAGAAAATTCAAGATGAGATAGAAAGATGCTTTCTCTTTCTTACTGTTTATTCAACGTCACATGCTGTTCTTCTTATTATTTTTTTTGATTGTGTAAAGCACCTTGAAATGCCTTGCCGCTGAAATGTGCTATACAAATAAAATTTGATTGATTGATTGATTCATTCAAGATTGTTGAGCTAAAACATAAGCAAAGCTGCAAAATGTTCTGCCAACACTATTTACAGTAAACTCAAATAAAACTAATTAATGAGAGTTACAACAACATTTAATTTCCCCTTTGGATCAATAAAGTATTTCTGAATTTGAACTGAAGTGAATCGAAGGCCCCCGTTGCTGGATTTCTCTGAATCTCAACAATTATCGACCACTTTCAGATCAGGATCACCAACAGAACCGGACAATAAATCAATAACAATATATATCGGAACAGACAAGTAATCAATATCAACAGATAATACATCTGAGTGAATATTCAACCTACACATAGTTCTCATGTGAAGTCACTTGTATGAATGTTGTAATTGAGAGCCATCTTGGCAGGCAGTTGCTATGGAGTTGCTATGACAACAATAAACAAGCCACTAGCTTAGAACAAGCTTTCACATTGTTCCAATCTAACTTATAAACAATATAAGTAAATTACAAGAATTACCCCATCTCAGTTTTTGAGTACTCTACTCACCTTTGTATAATACTAAGATAAATATCAGTGATATTTACTGTAGTACTTACTGCTGATGAACTAGCAAAATTACCCAGTTCAGACTTGTGGGAATGATGTATTGAACACTGAACTCCAATCCAGAACCCCACAGCATTCTGGGAGATGTAGGCAGAGGAAATGCTTCAGCCGCTCACTGCCAGCTAAGAAACGTTGGTGGAATCAACTCGCTCGTTCTTTGGTTGCCTAGCAACAACCTGTAACTCTTCAAACTAAATAATGTACATGTTTCATCTGGAACTCAAAATTTCCAAGTTCTTGCTCCTTCTTTCTTTTTTCTGTTCAATCTATAACGGCCAAATTACACCATTTTACTTTAAAGATTCCCAGAAATAACAAAAAAGTTCAGAACTGCAGTCAGTAAAGTAGTAGTTGCATATTTTTAATTTCACTTCTTCTATAGATTTTTCTACAGGCAGATTTAATCCACAGCAACATTTACCGTTTAAAATGAAAAAAGCAATAAGTGTCAAGCACCAGGACCAATGCTATAAAAAAAAATGTAATTATTTAACATGCAAATGTGTTTAACACGTCTGTTGGGTAAAAGTATAATTTGGATAAATAATGGAAAAAGGTTTAAGTGATTTCTCGGCAACATGCAAGTTCACATTATGTGCCTCTATTGTATTTTTCTGCATACACAACGCGCTCTGAAATGTCAACCTGCTCTTATTTCCCACTCAACAATTTCTAAGTGATAACTAAATGAAAAGTCACATAAATATGTTAATTGGGGTGTGTGTGTGTTTTCTTCTACATCCCATTTCAAGATTAAAATGTTGAATTAATGTGGTAAATACGCCAGTCTCAAATCAATTTTCTGGTTAAAACGTTGAATTAGGCTTGAAACAACAATTACAACATTTAAAAACACTGAGAAAAGAATTAAACATTGAAGCAAAAAGCAGAGAAAAACAGACAAATGTTCTGAGTCATTCTGGAAAATGAAGCAAGAAAATATCTGCAGAACTTGACCAATCATGAGTCGGCTCTCCTAAGTTTCCTGAATAAATCATCTGATACGGGGAAAAAATGACTAAGCTTTCTGGTTTTAGCTTATCTGAGATTTTAAAAACTGACTTGAATTGCATTTGAGTGAATATATCAGCTTCTTCTGCAGGGGAACAAAGACGCTTCTCAAAGCAAACATGACTTCTTTCAACAGTAAATCTAAAGCCAGAAAACGAGCACAGCTGAAAGAGCATAAAATAAAAGCAAAAACCTCTTATTGCCAACACCCAGCAGAAGCAGAAAATTAAAAAAGTTCTGCAAGCGGAGCAGCAGGAGCCTGACGCAGAGCCGCATCATCACCATTATCATCCACAAACTCAGTATCCGGCTTGAATTATAGATGAGCCGCATCCCCTCTGCTTCGTTTCTGACAGAAGATGTGCACTAATCCCCACTGATATGATATGTACTCCTTTTATCACCCATCTTTGCATGGAGACACTTAACAGCTTCATCTGTCAGTCTCACTAAACCGGCAAAGTCCCCCGTAAATAATGCATGAGCGTTTCCTCCATCAGGCTTTGCAGATGAACCAAACTTTGCACCCAGATGAGGCGGAAGTCTTAACCAGGGATTAAACAGCAAAAAGAAAGTGTTGAAGCACCTACCGCGTAGAGAGATCCCTCGAAGAGACAAGCTCCTGGGATGAAAACAGAGGAAAGAAACGGAGTTAGAGTCCGGCTTTGTCTGAGTGAGGTCAAAATGACTGCAGGTGCTTTAAAAACACACACATGAGGAAGTAATTGATCCTATTCAGTGTGTAAGGTCAGGTTTTATGATCCCTTGGTGGGTTGTTAAGAGCTGTCCAGATTTAAAAAGTGATCAATACGTCTCAGCAACACAAAGAAAACCAGCAGATGGATAAAAAGATCCTGGAATCTGGTTATCCAGGGACTAAACGTGGATTACAGTGAGAACAGCAGATTTAAGAGATTTCATAAAATGTCAGACAGTTTGTTTCTGTTTTAAGACGTAACATTCATGAAAAAGACATGGAATGATAACAAACCGCTGTGAAAAAGTGGAAATGAAGGCAGCCTCACTTCACTGGCAATAAATTAATTAACCACATGATAAATTTAAATGAGCATGCTTTGTCAGTTTTCTTTTTACTCTCTACCAAAAACTGGATGATAAAGGTCTTCTGTCTGGTGCTTTGGTCTCAACTAGCCTTTATTTTGAAGGGCAATGTTGTTTACAAAACCTTAATGATTAATTGTATTTGCCGTTTCTGTTTTGTTGAGTTATTTTGGATATTTAAAATGTTTTCCAGTCCCAGTGTTAAATGTTCACTAGAATTAAAAATTAATTGATCTTTGAGAATGTGTTCTTCCATTTTCATGCTATTACTATTATATTACCTTAAAATGGTCTAAAAATAATATAATTTATCATCCAGCAAACGTCTCACCTCGTTTTTAATTAGTCGTGTGTTAAAAGATCGGCGTTACACCCCTATGGGTGAGAGAATTTGACGCTGTGTTGAATTATACAAAACTGGTTAAGATTCTCTCACCTCAGGATGCTGGATGCTTGAAACTTAAAGTCATACTGAGAGAATTACCTTATTTTTTAATAAACTGGCTCATGTTCTCCTTATTCAAAGTTGGTCAGCTGATCCTTAAAAGTAGGAGGAAATACAAAACTGTGACATCAAAGCAAAAGAAGATCCTGTTCTGACCCAGTTAAACTTTTAATTTTATACTTTTCACATTACATATTAAGTATTAAAATCAGGAGTGTATCAAAAGTGGCTCTGATACTTTAAATACATAAGAGAAGTTGATGTTTCACTAAATCCCGTTATTTATTCTCCTATATTTAGAGCTACATACATGTAGCTCTTGTCACTAAATAAGAGCTACATGTATGTAGCAACAGATATGTTGTGACAACATAGAAAACAGAGTGACAGATATTGTATGACTGGATTAACAACATACTAAAATAACCCATCAGATCTTTCATGTGTTTGGGAGAAATATTGCATTTCAATGAGTTTACCAGCTTCATGGTAAAAATGCAACACAAAAACAAGCAAGTTATGGCAAACAGGCATTTTGCAAATGTTAGCCAAGGCTAATTGTGTCATAAAATTAGCTGTAGTTTACCTGAAAACATGGACACTATTCATTGTTTTCTGAAGATCAATGAACATAAAGAGTATCATCATGGAAGTGGGAGTATTTTAAAATTGTTTTATGGATAAATTACATTTTAAAAATTGGCACATTCTAGAGATTTTTCATTTAATATTAGAAATACTGTTAATCCACAGTATTCAGCTAGTGGGATGAGCTCGACTTTTCTCGACAATACATTAATAGATAAGATGCATCTGCAGCTACATAATGTTAAAAGCTCCATCCTTTCTGCTGGACTTATCAATACATAGCAGAAAATTATCTGTTGATTATTTCTTTGAATAAATAATAATTGGATAGCAAAAGGTGCATAATAAGTGACTTTTTTCACAGAATTTGAACCAGGTGAAGCTAAAACTGCTATCTGAGGAGTTCAGGGTACAGAACATATTTACAGAATAAGTAGTATTATTAATTTAAATGCAAAATGTATATTTTTTAACAGTTTTGACTTAATTACTGCTCTGAGTGAGTTATATTTTCAGCATAGGACCTTTTTCTGAGTCTGTATACTTCAGTTAACAAGTAAATAGATTACTAAATTAGTTGAGAATCATTTCAATAATCGATTAATCATGATTAATCATGATCAATCGTGATTAATCGATTCAGCCTTAGTAGTTTCCCAGAAGAAAACGAGTGCTGAAGGGCAAATCCTCCCATAAAATTATTAACTGTCATTAACACAAACCTTTTTGACACTGTTTGGTTAAACATTTGATATTTCTTAGCCCTAATTAAAGGGTTTAAGCTAATTTACATTCAGACCAACACAAACAGTGACCATTAAAGCCTCTCAAAGGGAAACAAAAGCTTGTGTCCCTAAACTGAGATGACAGGGTGGGTGTTGATGGTAATCTCTGCTCAATTTAAGGGCCAAACGTTAAGAAAACACAGACAGACGTACGGAGCAATGCCTCGGCACAGCTTGGGGTCTGAGCTCAGCGTCACACGACTGAGAAAATGTGAGACATCTCCGGGGAAAGAAGAGCCAGAAGTAAACATTTATCATAAAGCTCTGAAAAAAAAACAGCCTACAGTTATTGTCCTCATTAAAAATGCCCAACAGCAAATCTGTTTATGTCGCTGCTTTGTCATGTGCCTGCATGACAGAAAGAAAACTCAGCAAAATATAATCTGGCACTTTAATCAGTTCAGACCGAATACACGGAGGAGGTTCGCGTTGCACTTCTGCCAGTAATGAAAACTGCTTCCAACAGATCAGACTTTAAAGCAATTACTGCAGGGCATTTATTAACCAACCAACCAACCGCCGTCTTCAGGAGACAAGAAAACGTTTCATGTAATCTGATCTGGAGTTTCATTAAGATTGTTTCCATAGGAGCTTTTGATGCAAACTGTCAAAGTGCAATGAAATGTTTTTGTTTCTGGTTTTATTGGACTGAAAATAAGATATTTTCCTGCACAGTGAGCAAAACATTTAGTCCCAATTAAAATGCAGTGGTTTTGTTCTCGCAAAATTTCAATTAAAGCTCTTGCTTCATCTAAATAAGGTTTGAAATTAGCTTCCACATGGACAACTACAAGATTAAACATCCTGCAATTTTAACTTACTAACAAGATCACAAAACATGCTCATCAATAGTTTTTTGAAACTCAAAAAATTTCCAAAAGGTGAACATTTTTGACTTTTGACATTCAGAATGTTGCTTTTTTTTTTCTCAAAAAATTCTGAAATTGATCTCAAAGTTTAGGATTTATTTTTAGCAAATTTTTGGCTGTTGAATCTCAAAAAAAATTTTCTCCTTGAAAATTTCTGAAATCAACATTTCTGAGGCTTTTTTTTTTAGAACATTTTCGATTTTTGAAACTCAAGATTTTTCTAAAATGTTCTGAAATTAATCCAAAAAATTCTGAGTTTTTCCTCTATCAAATTTTTGACTTTTGAAACTGAGAAATTATCTTGTTCTGAGATTCATTAAAATTTTTTGAGTGTTTCTCTCTCTCTATATATATTATTATTATTTTTTTTTTTTTTTAGTTTTTTTTTTTTAATGTCAGACTTTTCAAGGTCGGATATTTTCATGATTTTTCTAAGACTTTTCTTAGATTTTTCGTAGCAACTTTTTGATTTCTCAAACTCAGAAACTTCCCAGGATTTTTCTAAAAAAAAATGTTTTTTTCTGGAAAATATTCAATCTTTCAACCTCTGAAATTTCCATGTTTTTTTGTAGAAAATGTCTAAGATTAATCTCAGAAATCTAACATTTCTGAGACTTTCGGTAGAAATTTACGCCTTTTTTTCTATCTACATTGGCGCTAATTCACCACCGTATTGGAGACTACAAAGGAACCTGAGCTAAAAAAATAAATAAATATAAAAGCACAATCCTTGACTTCAACCTTTTGCCCACCCTCCTCTTGTTACCTCCTGTTTTATTTTCAGAGGAGCATCAAAGTTTGAATGCTACTGAAGCAGCAGCTGCTGGGCAGATTGGACGCACGCCGAGATGAGGCGATTAAAGATTCAGGGAGTAAAAAATAAAGTT